ACAGAAAAATATCTATATCTATCTATCTATATCTCTCTCTCTCTCTCTCTCTATATATATATATATATATATATATATATATATATATATATATAAAAAGTGGACATTGAGATTAACAGCCAGTGGCAACAGTCTTGTTTCATGCTTAAATACAATCTTCAGGCCTGTCACTACTGGGTGTTGACCTCAATGTCCACTTTTATATTTCCATACATTCTATCATGATATTGAGCACTTTAAGCCATAAATATAGCATACCTTAAAACTATAGTTTTCATTATATATATATATATATATATATATATATATATATATATATATATATATATATATATATACCTTGAATAGGTTTTAATCCATGTATTGAGTGAATCCTAGTTTACATAAAAAACATAAGCAATCATGTCTCTCCACATTTTCCTTTTCTTTATTATCTATAAATTGCAATCACAGCTTATGAAAAATATTTAAGTGGTCTCTTGTTGCCTCCTTCACACTTCTGTATTCAGTGTAGTCATTTTCATAACTGCTACTTTTTATGCCATGTCCTTGATCATGGTTCTCCATATTTTCCTTTTTATTTATTAACTATAAATTGCCATCACATCTTGTAAAAGATATTTCAGTTGTTTCTTGTTGCCTTCTTTGCACCTTTTGAATTCAGTGTAGTTATTCCCTTCGACTGACTGCCACCCAAGACTAAATAGCTCACTGTACTGTTATTTAAATCAGCTGGAGAAGAGACAAGACAGATTTATAATTTTCATAAGGGTATTAGTGTGAAATTGAATGCAACAGTCTAAATCAGAATTAGAACTCTGCTCATCAATTTCTGCACTGATTAACCCTATTATTAACATGTTCCTCTCAAGGTTATCTGCTTGACATTTTCTAATTTAAAGCAAATATTTAAAAAATGAGTTTTTTTTTTTTGTTGTTGGAAATTTGGGCAATCATTATATTTCATTTGAAATTTCAATATTCTAATAAATATTGTTTAAAATAAATACAGCATCTCCTCAAATTTAAAAAGTCTTTGGCATCTGATGTATCTAAATGCATAAAATAGCCAATTTCATCCAGCTTTCAATCACTTCTCTTCTTCTATATATTGTGTCCTTTCAGGATGTGGGTGATTATGGCTCTCCACACTATCCATTGTAACTCTTAGTAATGTTTAACTTTTTGCCATTCCACCATTCATTTACACAAGCTGCTCATGTAGTTGGCCCTCTGCCTTCCTCTGTTCCTTTTGCTTTCAATATCTCCTGTGAGTGTCAAATACTCCAAGCCCTCTTTCTTTATTATGTGTCCAAGAAATTACAGCCCTCTCTTTATGATTCTGAGTATATTTTTGTTTCCATTTTCCTTGAGACTTCTCTACTGCTTACATACTCTATCCATGGTAACAATGTAGTAGTGTCTATCTATATTTCTGGGATGACGTATTGTAATTATTTACATTGTTTCAATTGTTGTTCTCATCTTAATTGCCATATTCAGCTTAAGGAATCTGCACATATGCTAGGCCACAAAACTCTACTAAGCTGGCCAAGCATAGAAATGAATACAATATGGGAACCATTAATATGGAGTGCTACAGAGAAGCAATAATAACAACAAAATTGCAATATGAGCTCTGGAAAAAATATGATTACTGAGTTGTTAAGTTTATAAGTCCCAAAAATTCATACACTGATGTCCTCATGGCTCAATGGATAAAAGCGTTATTTGGATCCAGTGACTTGACCCAAAGAGTTGTGAGTTCAATACCTGGCTACTTCAAAAAAAACTTGGAGATCTGAGTTAAAGGGTGATAACTGAGACATCCTGCAGAGGCATGGCACATGGAACTTGAACTAAATACTAAAGGGCTCAGTTCCAAATTCCAATCACCTGAAGAAGGCCAGATTGTACAACGGCCAAAATGTATTGAATATGGCAAAAGTCCGAACAATGTAAATAATTGTAATAATGGTAGCTTTATTAAAAAAATGTACATCATGTTCTTAAATATCCTCATAAGATCGAGGCTTTCATGCTGGTGTCATGCATGCTTCCAAACACATTCATATAGGTCTTACGTCTCTTCATGTATGACCATCCTTCTTCAAACCTTGTGAACTGGCACTACATAATCACAAAAAAAGAAATCACATCAGTTGAGGACTACCAACAGCAGCAACAATTAAAATGAATAGCACATGGAACTCATAGAGAAAATAAGATGTTGATATTCCACACTATTTTAAGGTTAGCAGGGAAACTGCCATCAATATTGGAAATGGAATTGAAAAAACTATTTTCCAGAAAAATTATTTTAATGGGAGGATTTTATAAATTTCAACCGGAAACAGTACTGGCTTCTCGGTCAATGAATGCCAAATGTTTCCTTGTAGGGAAACAGCTAATATTACTATTTCTGTTAACATACTGTACAAGTGGATGTTATAAAGTTTTTTGGCATGACTTGCTTCCCAAGTGACCAAACATTAGAATTTTGTTTTTTTTTTTCCTCTTGATCTGTAAAGATTTTCTCATCCGTCTCATAGATATGTAGGAACTTTAATCCTATCTCTGTCTATGCATTCAACTTACTCAGACTAATATCGATAAACTACACATGCACACACATGCATGCAGTATCATCCACATTTGCACACTCTTGAATATGCATTTACATCCGACAACACTACCTGTGTGTCTACACAAAGCCATGTACAATCAATGAGGCACAACTTCCAAAATAATCTGATTACATTCATTGAGCTTAAAAGAGATTATTGGATTGGCAATAATACTGGCTTGTCCTCACAGAATTAGCACATTATCTCCTTGTTTCATAGCATCATGGGTAATATTACCTATAACCAGACCCCCATCCCCCACTGACCATCTCTCTTATGTTGTTAGACTGACTAGTTAGTAACTTGACTGGTTGATTTGTTTGTCAGTCTTAGGGAATAAACACAGACATTTATTATGGACCTATCCCCAATAAGAATCTGTTTTCCTGTAATATAATTTGACTGTCAGACTATTTTTCTCATCTTTGATTGTTATAGATCAATTATAGACACAATGTTTCAGTCAAGTGCCTTCTGCTCATCTTCAGGTGTCAATTATTTTTGGCTATACAGGATATCTGGTAATGTCACCGATTGTGTTTATCACTCTGTATATTGATTGTTCCTATTTTCATTTAATTATGACTCTTTAATTGTTTCTAATAACATTTCTCATTAAGAAATTTGGATTGAATTTGTAGCCACTAATATAAAAAGTTTGGGATTTTTCAAAACATGTATCTAGTTATTTAACATATACAGTGAGGTGATACTAAAAGAATTAGAAATTCTACAAGAATTTATTATTGGTGGGCACCTTCTTAGCAACATAAGATACCCAGAAAGAAAACTGCAGGAACTGCTAGACAAGGTAGAAAAAGAAAGATGAAAGGACTAATTATCAATTGTAAAAAGAGAGAATATATGGTAATCAGTGAGAGGGACAGCCCAAGAAGCCAGTGATGAAATGGAGACATCAAAATCAAGCATGTACAGAAATTTAAATACTTGAGAAACAGAAAATGTAACACAGAAATACAACTATATATTAGAATAGCAAAAGATGCTTTCCAAAAGCTAAACAAAGTATTAAGAAACAAGAAAATTTCATTATAAACAAATATTAAATTTTCATTACAGGCTTTTTTTTTCTGTTTTAAAATGCAACATCTGTCAGAGTTTATATGAAGTTGCCAAAATCCTTTGCATAGCCATTTCAATGGAACATTGCTGCATATATGGGCAGTCTTTTCTTTCCAGTCTAGTCCAAAGGTGTTTCTGTGCCCTTATGGGTGATGAATTATTTTCCACCCTACAACCCCTTTCCCACAGATGAAACGTCATTTGTAGCCATACAACCTGAAAACTCTTTTCTTTGTTTCTTAATAGTCTGTTTAGCATCTGGAAGGCAGCTTTTGTTATATAAATGCACCTTTGGATGTCAATGTCACATTTTCTGTTGTCTACTACTGTACTTGCTTGATTTAGGCATCTCCAATATGTCATTTATCATCTTCTGTTTTCTCTTATATTTTATGATTAGTCTTTTCTTTTCCTGATTTGCTTTACTATCTTATCTATGATTTTCTAGAGTTTCTTTCTATGTCTGCCATCAACACAGTACCATCTGGATATTTTATGTTGTTAAGATTCTGCTCACCAATAATAAATCCTGAGAGGATTTCAAGTTCTCTTGGAAATGCCTCATTGTAAAGGTTAAATAAATCTGGTGAATAGATGTATCCTTGCCTTATGGATCTTTTTATTTTAGTGTTCTGACTCAATTCATTTTCTATCCGTATATACAGGGGTTAGACAAAATTATGTGAGCATTAGCTTAAACATTTATCTATTTACTAATAAGATGTTGGACCTCCATTAGTTTCTAATTATTTTACCTGAGGATAAATAATGACTTAATTTGGTGGAAAAGCAAGTAAAGAATTAAAGTGCTGATCAGTTAACTTTTATGCCAGTTTGATGTTTACAAATACCCCAAAATGCCAGAATTTAAAAAATTGCTGTTTTTGAAAGCCGTTCACATTATTTTGTCTACACTCTGTAAGTGGTTTACTTCTAGTATACATTCAGGATTATTCTAGTATCTTTCTCAAATACAGTTTTTCTCACAGTTCAAATAGATTCATGTGTCATAACTTATCAAATGTTTTTGCATAGTCTAGAAAACAAAGGTATATATAACAATATCATAGGAGAAAATAATATATATTTTTTTATATTCCAAAACAATGTTAGGAAAATTAATGGCAAATTGTAAAACATTTTTCATGAGACACATTTTGTCATTTTAGACATCATCAGACTAAAGTGGTGTTTACTTTGATGTAACTACACAGGCACATGAAGTGGAGATGTTGAAGTTTTAAGCAATTTTTTTTTGTTTTATATAGCTTAGCCAATTTCAGGCCTACAGCCATATCCTGTTAACAAACGGTTCCCATATGATCAACGGTTAAGCATTGTTGAGTCTGGTCAGTACCTAGATGGGTGACCACTTGGGAGTGCCAGATGCTGCAAGCTTGGATGTTTGGGTGATATAATAGCTAAGGGCTTAGAATTACTAATCAGAGAGCTGAGTCCTAATTCCACTTGGGTTCATTATACTTACTTAGTTGTAAATATCCTTAGGAAAGGTATGAATGCACCTCATCTCTCTCTAGCTTTGGGTTAATTAGTAAGACTTGTATCACTAAATCTTTATTATCTCAAAAAGAAAATTTCCTATTATCTCAAAATATTTTCTGGCTTTAAATAACCTGTGAAAGGTTGATAAGCAATAGAAAATGAATCAATCAATATAATTTCATTTAGTCTTTTTCTTTTTGCTTATTTTTTTTTAGTTTTGTTATTAAATATCCCACATTGGGATAATAGAAGATCTGCCAAGAATGGTGAAATGTAAGAATTTTGATGCAAATTTACTGTGGATGATCTAGTGATTAAATACTAATATTATTAAATCCATTGACAAATTTTTTTTGTATTCTTTATGATGATGATGATGATGATGATACTACTAGCATTGCCATCATCATCCCCCCCACTACCATTATAAACTTTTTGTGTCTAAATGGAAATCAATTGACAACAAAACTACTTCAGCATTCCTTTCAATATTCCATTTCAGCTCAATCATAAAGTTGTTAGGGTCGTCCTAGTTTTTATTCATATTCATCTCCTGAAGCTTTTCTTTTATTGAACTCTTTTCGTATACTTCCCTATACGTCAGCTGATATGGAGATTTCTGAGTATTCATTATTGGATATGTTTTTCGAGTTTCTAATCGTGATCATGTATTATTTTCTTTTTCTTTCTTTCTGCAGTTGTTGTTTCCTTATTTTCTGCTGCATCGACATTCATTGATTTCAAAGTAGATAATGTTCAAGACCAAATGACACCACATACTATAAGCGTCTTAGCATTTTAACTTTGTTCTCAAAACCCTTGCAATATATCTGGCAATACTTCTTTTTGCTTTATTATTATTGTTGTGTTGTTTTACAAGAAACCTCAAGAAACTTCAAATTAACAGATCATGATTGTTGATACAATTGTAGCTAAAATTTCCAGCGTAATTTTTATTAATTATATAATGTTATATGACTGTGTATAGTAGTTTAGAATTTCATTAAAATGTGTATGTACAGGTAAAAGTCATGTGCAGTTAAAATGTGTTAGCAGATTAAATGAAGAGTCTGAAGAACTAAACCTATGTCTCAGGTGTAAAATTTAGTAAACGGTTATATAGGAATAAAGTGTCACTGCCGTCATTGTAGTTTGAACATAGACCACCAATGAGCAAACATGGGTGATCCCATTATTGAATTATGGAAAATCATATGACCACAGAGGAAAGACATAAATAGAAAGTATCATGATGTCAAATTGATCACACTTCCTCCTCTATACTCTGTTACTATACGGATCACTATTTTTTTTTCTACACTATTCTCTATACTGATTACTATACGGATTACTATTCAGAGGTTACTTTTCAAGCAAGTACTATTAGTGCGAGTGTTATTCGAAGGTGTCTGACACCACTATTATTTAACGGTGTTACTATAGTTGTATCTGCGGTTACAAAATTTCTATTAGAACAAGCATTTCAAAAGTGACAATGAGTATTCGTTGCCATCACAAAAGTGGCAACAGGCATTCATTTGAGTCCCAAAATAAACTCACCAAAGAACCGTCTAAATATGAAGAAGAAATCATTGCATAATATGCAGGGTTCTGTGAATATATGAGAATGAGCATACAAATTCTAGAAGACAAGGTCCATAATCTGTCTCATTGATAAAACTTTCCTGAGGATGTGGGAAGTTGGCCATAAGTGAAATCTTTTTAATTTCAGCCAAACTTGGTTTGTCAGAGAGTTAAAAAAAAATACAATTTTTCATGTTTTGGTATAGTTCCTTGCACTAAAATTTAATTATTTTAATAATTATTATTATTATTATTAAAAAATTGTATTTTTGATATGCATTTGTTTTATAATCAAATGCTGGGTCATAAGCTTTGACCTAGGTCAAGTGAACAAAAGACAGTTATTAAAAAAAATGCTGATATGGACAAAGCTCTTCACAGGATATCGGCTGTGCTAGTTAAAACTATTTTTTTAGATTTCTTGGAGAGATTGTGCACCAAGAATCTTGTTAATTTGTTATTGACTTTCTTTATTCATCCCTTCATAGAGTTTCTCAAAATCTGTACAAGTTGATAATTATTTTATATATTTTATATAAATTGGCATTAGATTTGAATCCACTTCAGTCAGTTATGTGCTATGCATGATACTTGCTTAGGCGATCATGTACCTTTTGATACATGACTGACGAGGCAGATTTTTTCCCACAGTAGGATGCCATTTCTTTCTTCAGTAGACCAGTTGCCATCCAAGGCTATAGAACCCGGTCTGTCCTGCTATTTACCTATAGCTGGGGGGAGAAGGAGAGGATTCATACCTTTCCCAAGGCTATTAGTACATAAGTGAAAGTAATGGATTTGACTGGAATTCGAACTTGGCTCTCCAATTCCTCAATCCAAGCCGATATCTATTACTCTACAGTGCATCCATACAGAATCCACCTACCATATAAAAATATGCCAACATAGACAGCTACTATATGCAAAAATGATTTTGTGACATATATATATATATATATATATAATTTCTAAATACAACCAGTGCATTGTGGTAATGTTCATAATTAATGTTATTAAGTGTTGGTTTCTTGATTTTTATAAGAACTTCCATAAAATTTAAATGTGTTTTGTAGTGGGAGGTATGTATCACACCTATGTTCTCGGTGAGTATATTGCATATCTAGATTGGTACAATTCAATGTTGGTATAAATGTGTCCATATTGAGCTATGTAGTGTCATTTATCTGGGTGATAGTGTGTTCAACATAATGATCTATCGGTTAGATTTCCTTGGGAATACAGTTCCCCATGGAGCATCTAAATTAAGAAATGACATTGGTCAGACAGAGTTTTGAATTTGTTACCAACTGACTCTACATCTCTCTGACTAGCACTCCATACAGACACATTTAAACAAGCATTCAGTAGTAAAAATCTCAATATATTATAGAAGAACATGAATGTGATATATACATCCAACTACAAAAAGCATTTAAAATTGATGCAAACTCTTATGAAAATCAAGATACCAACCCTTAATAATATTAATTATAATCACAATATTCAGAAATTAAGAATATGTTTACTTTCAGCAACATTTATAATAGCAATGTTTTTTCGATGAATAAGGAATTTTTACAAGGATTGTTTTCACTTTTTAAAAATTTTAATTAGAATAATTTCTAAATTTTTAGATTATTTGAAATTCTGTATCAGTTTGTAACAGCCAAGTGATATTGTTGTTAAATTAAGACTGCATTTACTAATCATAAATTGAAATGCTTACAATTCAGTACTAATATTAAAAAAATTTTGGACTTATTTTGTGTGTATGAAAGTGTTTATTTTTGTAAATATGGAGGTCTAAGTACAACATTATTGGAAAATAAAATTGGCAACTATAGCAAAGTAAAAATTTATTGTTAATTTTCTAAAATGTCCTCAACAAGCATCTTTGATTTTGTGTGTGTGTATGTATATATATATATATATATATATATATATATATATATATATATATATATTTGGTTGATAGATGTGAGTCGTGACCCTGGGTTTCACGCTTTAGCAATACAAAGTTTGTCTGACGATCGCTAAAGCGTGAAACCCAGGGGTCACACAAACTCACATCTGTCCAACCAAATATGTTAGCTCTATCTCTGATATTGAGCACTTTTCTAGTACCGCACATATAAATAATTATACATATATATATTTATTTATATTTATATACACTTTTCATATATATATATATATATATATATATATATATATATATATATATATATATATATATATAGGTATCAATGTGATATATATATATAAGTATTAATGTGGATAAATCAAATAACTAGATATTAGCAACCATATATGCATGTGTTAGCATGCATACACAGGTAAGCAAATATATATTTACTCAATGTAATTTAAGGTGTAAGCAAAATGGTGCTCAATGCGGTTAGACAGAGCTAAGAATTATATATTAATAAATATACATATACCTATGTTTGAAGTGCAACTTGAAACATCTCACCTTTCATTGTTCTACCAACTCAAAAAAACATTTTTTACAAATCAAAAGTAATAATTTGTGCCTGATGAGTTGGTAGAAAAACGAAACTTTAAGTTATACTTCATATGTAGGTATATATACATATATATATAGTGTATTTAGACAGCAATCCCTCTTTGTTTCATTAAAGATACCTGACAAGGGACTGCAATTAAGTTTTTTATCTAATTTTTCTTGTGTTCATACAAGTGTTTTCTTTTTTGGGCACAAAGTGTGTAAAAACTGTCCAAAAGTCCTGCATGTCTGAATGCTTTCAGCTATAGTTTTAGCCATTATTAAAGATGATTTTATTTTTACTTCTAACTGAATGTATGGGTTGCGTTATTTATAATATATATATATATATATATATATAAAAAGTTGCAAATTAAAAAAAATAATAATGTTCTTTTAAGAAAGTATTTATTTATTTGTATATATATTTGATATTTCAGATTGGCCTCAATCTTTCTTCAGAAATAACTGTTTGTTTACAAGTAGCGTCCGTCGCAAATAAATAAATACTTTCATAAAAGAACATTATTATTTTTTTTAATTTGCAACTTTTTCTATATATACATATTAAGAAAGTATACGTGGCTTCTCATTATGCTATATATATATATATATATATCTTCAGCTAGAGGAATGTTTTATTTTGCAAACATGGTCAGCTCATTCTGACCATGTTCATAGTTGATATTATTGTTGGCATTTTCTTTTTATTATTAGGGCTACCATTACTTTTAATCTCTTTTTACATGTCAATGATGTTTTTAAGCTTGTATTTTCTACTAGTATGTTTCGGATGGAGTCTG